ATTTCCTGAAATGGCTGGATGTTGACCAGTTCTTTTTGGTACAGTGATTCTGTGTATTCCTCCCATCTTCTTCTGATGTTTCTTGCGTTGTTCCATATTTTACCCATAAGATCATTCAATGTTGCAACTCGAGGCTTGAATTTTTTCTTCAGTTCTTTCAGCTTCAGAAATGCCAAGGATGTTCTTCCCTTTTGGTTTTCTACTCCAGCTCTTTGCACACTTCAGTATAATACTTTGTCTTCTTGAGCTGCTCTTTGAAATCTTTTGTTCAGCTGTTTTACTTCATTTATTCTGTTCACTTTAACTACTCTACATTCAAAATCAAGTTTCAGTCTCTTCTGTCATTCATTTTGATTTTTTCTTTCTTTCCTGTGTTTTTAATGATCTTTTGCTTTCTACATGTATGATGTCCTTGATGCCATCCCACAACTCATCTGGTCTTCGATCATTAGTGTTCGATGCATCAAATCTATTCTTGAGATTGTAAATTCAGATGGGATATGCTCAAGGTTGTACACTTTGGCTCTTGTGGACTTGCTTTAATTTTCTTTAGCTTCAACTTGAACTTGCATGTGAGCTCCTGGCCTTGTTCTGATGGATGATATTGAGCTTCTCTATCATTTCTTTCCATAGATGTAGTCAACTTGTTTCCTGTGTATTCCATCTGGTGAGGTCCACACATATAGTTGCTGTTTATGTTGTTGAAAAAACTATTTCCAATCAATAGGTGGTTGGTCTTGCCAAATTTTATGATGTCACCAAGGCCGTATTTCCCAACTGTTGATTTTCTTTGTTCCCAGCTTTCATATTCCAATCACCAGCGATTATCAATGCATCTTAACTGCATGTTTGATCAATTTCAGACTGCAGAAGTTGGTAAAAATCTGCTTTATCTTCACCTTTGGCATTAGTGGTTGGTGCGTAAATTTGAGTAACAGTAGTAGTAACTGGTCTTGCTTGTAGATGTATGGATAGTATCCTAATAGCACTGTGCTTAAGGACAGATCTTTTTATTTTGTAAATTTTTGCAGTGTTTCATCCCCTCCCATCCCTGGTAACCAGCAAAGAGTTTCCTTCCATATATAAACTTTCATGACAGATCTTAAATGTTCTTTTTGGTGATGCATGTGATGCCATTCCTCTTCAATCTGTCATTCTTGGTGTGGTAGTTAAGTCTGTGTGTCAACTTGGCTGGGCCTGGTTGAGTGGCTGGGCAGCTGGATGTAGTATTCCCCATGATGAGACTGGTAATCAACTCCATGGTGGACTCTACTGTGAGCAGCTGAGTAGCTCTTAGGGATGTGGTCTGCTTCCTGTATATAAGAAGCAGCCTTGGGGAATGGCCTCTCGACCTTATGGCATGCTTGAATCCTGCATGTAGCCATGTCGTCGTTCAGCAGCCTGCCATGCTCTGACGACATTGAGACTCTCAATGGACTAGAATTAATGGCCTGTTGTGTGGTTTGGTAACATCAGGACTGTGCCTTTTTACTTGTCAACCTTGAGCCTGTAGCCTCAGCAGCCAACAGCTGAGTGAAGAAAAGCCTCTAGCTTCAATGGGCTGGGAGCAGGAGGCAGAGCTGAAACTCAAGGTTGAGAGGCTTTCACCCAGTTCCTAGAGCCTGGCACTGTGAACTCAGACTTAAAGCCTCCAAACCGTAAGAGAATAAAGTCCTGTTTCTTCAAGCCATCCCACTGGTGGTATATTCTTGTCGGAGTGGCACTAGGGAACCAGAACACTTGGGATAGGAGACCATGCTCATCTGATTCAAATGGCCGATACCAGTCCATTTCAGCTCACCAATGCCTAGGATATCTATCTTCAAGCATTCTGTTTCATTTCTGACAACTTTCAATTTTCCTAGATTCATACTTTGTACGTTTCACGTTCTGATTGTTAACAAATGTTTGCAGCCATTTCATCTCATTTGGACTTGTGCCCCATCATCAAATGGAGGTCCCGAAAGCTGACTCCATCCACATCATTATGGTCACCTCTACTTTGAGAAGCCAGCTCCTCCCCATCGTATCTTGAGTGCCTTCCGACCTGAGAGGCTCATCTTCCAGCACTACATCAGACAGTGTTCTGCTGCTATTCATACAATTTTCACTGCCAATGTTTTCACAAACAGATGGTCAGATTCTTCTCCTTGTCTGTCTTAGAAGCTCTGTTGAAAACCATGGGTGGTGACATGGTGGTATTTGAAACAGTATTTGTGTCTGTCTGTTGTACTGTGGTGGCTTGTGTGTTACTGTGAAGCTGGGAGCTATTCCTCTCAAGAGTTAGGTGGTGTTATTATTGCCATTTTATACATGAAGACACTGAGGCACAGAGAAGCCAAGAAACTTATCCAAGTAGCAGAGCCCAGATTTGAACCCAGGCAGTCCAGCTCTAGAGTCCATGCAGTTAGCCACACAATACAGTGCCCCCCTTAGTCATGGAGATCACGGCACCGTGACCTTTTCCTTACATAAGTCCTTTTTTAACTGAGAGAGAACTCATTATTTTGAATTGGATTGTGTCTTCAGAAAGATATGCTGAAGTCTTAACTCTGGTACCTATGAATATGGCCTTATTTGGAAAGTGGATCTTTACAGATGTAGTTAGTTAACATAAGGTCATAATGCAGTAAAACAAAACTCACACCTTCCGCCGTTGAGTGGATTCAACTCATAGCAATCCTACAGGACCAAAGTAGAACTGCTCCACAGAGTTTCCAAGGGGTAGATCTTTATGGAAGCAGACTGCCTCGTCGTTCTCCTGTGGAGTGGCTGGTGGGTTTGAACCACTGACATTTTGGTTAGCAGCAAGTGCTTTAACCACTGTACCACCAGAGCTCTTTATATTGCAATAGGGTAGGCCTCACCCAGTACGAGCAATGTACTCATAATGAAAGGAGGAGAAACAGAGAGGGAACACGGAGGCAGCCACTGGAGGGAGGCAGCCACTGGAGGAAGGCAGCCACAAACCAAGGAAGGAATGACTGAGGCTCCCCGAAGCTGGGAGAGGCAAGGCAGGGCCTTCCTGCAGAGCCTTTGCAAAGAGTATGGTCCTGCCAACACACTGAATTCGGACTTGTGGCCTCCAGAACTGAGAGACAACAAATTTTTGTTGTTAAGCCACCTGGCTTGTGGTACTTTGTCACGAAAGCCCTAGGAAATGAATATATGCACATATCATAAAAGTCACCCTTTGACAGGCTGAACTATTATGCAGGGGGGAGTATGCCCAAGACCATGTACAGGGTTGGCAGACAGTGTTTCTACAAGTGTATTGTTATGTTCTATAACAATTCCCAGGTATATAGTAGAGCTGACAAGGGACAAGGTTTTAGTCACTTCCTGGCCAAAGCCAGCTACCCAGACAGAACAAGTAGTTGGACCTGTGGGCTTGGGACCACAGCTGCAGGGGACGTCAAAGCTCAATTGGCATAACATACTACACAAAACATTGTTCCACCTCCTACTTTGGCGAGTAGCAACCAGGATCTTAAAAGCTTGCAAGTGACTATCTAGATGCAATGATGGGTCTCTCCTTGTCCAGAGCAAAGAAGAATGAAGAAAACCAAAGACTCATAGAAACAATTAGTCCAAGCAACTGGTACACCATGCGGTCCTCAGCCTATATTACTATGAGACCAGAAGAACTAGATGGTGCCTGGCTACCACTGTCAACCACTTGGAGGGGGATCTATGTAGGAGATCCTGGATAGAGAGGGAGAACAAGGTGGAACAAAACTCAAAATCATTGGAAAAAAAAAAAAAGAGAGAGAGATCAGGTTTGTTGGTCTGATGGAGTGAGCGTGATGGAACCACTGAGACTATGGCCCCTAGCTGCCCTTCAGGTCTGGAATTGAACCCACTCTGTGGCTTCCAGCCAAACAAAAGACTGGCATATGAGTTGAACATTTACATTAGGTAGATACACTCCTTGGAGAGAACAATCATGGGAGAACAGAAGGGCTGTGTATGCACAGGGAGACAGCCTGGGGGGCAGGAGTGCTTGGAGAGAAGGACACAGGGAAGAGGTAACTATGGGGAGGAAGTAGGAGACGGGAGCTGTTGCACTGTAGTAAACTGTAGTCAATGTCATAACCTGTATGTGAACTGCTGTATGGAAAGTGAATTTGCTCTGTAAACTTTCACCCAAATCACAATAATAAATAAATATCACCCTTTGGAAGTGTATATGGCACAGTGCTGCACAATGACTGACTCTGCCTAATTCCAGGACATTCTTATCCCCACAAAAAGGAAACCCCACACCCAGTAGCAGTCACTCTCCATTCTCCTCCACCCCTGGGCCAACCACTAGTCTCTTTGTCTGTATGGACTTGCCTATTCTGGATGTCTCGTATAAAGGGAATCCTACACTATGTGGCCTTTGCGTCTAGCATCTTTCACTCACTATCGTGTTTTCAAGGTTTGTACATGTAGTAGCAGGCATCCCTTCCTTTTCATGGCTGAATAGTATCCCACTGTATTTGTCCATTCATCCACTGACGAACATGGGGTTCTTTCTACTGTTTGGCTTTAGGGATAATGCTGTATGTGCACATTAGTGTACAAGTTTCTGTGTGGACATACGCTTTCACTTATCTCGGGTACATACCTACAAGTGGAACTGCTGGGTCGCATGGTATTGGCTGATTAGCTGACTAGTGTCCATCTTCCATACTAATGTGTAAGCTCCATGAGGACAGGAACTAAGTCTGTATTTTCGCACCATTTCATCCCCAGAGCCTGCCACAGAGTCAACAATTATTTGAATGAATGAGTGAATGAATGAATAACAGGTGCACAGTAACCATCCCTGAGCTGCATACCCTGGGCTAGAATGCCAGGAGTCCTGGGTTCCAGGCCGAGCTCTGCCTCTTCCCAGCAGCATGTCCTCAGGCCAATAGCTTGCCCTTTCTGGGCACGTGCGATGGGGAAACTGACACAGCCCAGCCTGCCCTGAGCCAGCCTGCAGCCCGCCTCCCACCCTGCCTCCTGCTCACCTCAGGCTTCTCCTGCCCGTTCTGGCTGATCTCGCCTTGCAGCCTCTCTCGAAGCTTCCCCAGCTCAGCCCTCAGGCGGCCCATCTCCTGCTCCTTGGTCTGCAGGTCTGCCTCCAGCTCCACCTTCTGTTCAATCAGGGCCTTGCCCTGGGCCTCCACCACAGTGACGCGGTGCCGAAGGTCATGGTTGATCTTCATCAGCCGGGTCTGCTGCTGCTGCAACTGCACAAAGAGAGGAGGCCGCTGGGCAGGGCCGCCATGCACAGGGGCTCAGGCTGGGCCTGCACCCGGCCAGACATCCAAGGCTGTGCCATTCCTACTGGGGTCACCTCTGTTTGAAACATGTTCACAGTCTTGTAACTGCTGACAGCAATGATGGGTATTATGTGTCCTGATTATGGTAATTGTGTAACAGACGAAAGTAACATGCCTTGAGAAAGGGCCCCCTTCTCTAGTCAGGCAGAGATGCTGTATGGCTTTCTGGAGCCACGCTGGCCACCTCCCAAGGAGCACAGAGATGGTGGGCTAGTGTCATCTCAGGGCTCAGAGCAGAGCCTCAGAGGAGAGTGTAGATGGGAGCAGGTCACGGGGCAGTGCCATGAACCCTCCTGTCTTTCAGGGAAGAGCACGGCACAGGGTCATCCCCTGTCTGCTGTTTTAGGGCTCGGTCTACTGCACCCCACAGAGCCCGGGAAATGAGATGGAGGGGAGAAGAGGGCCCTGGTGATGGGGAGCCAGTCTCATGCTGGTACCTGCTGGCCAGGGGAGTGGAGCCTGGTGAGCACTTACGGCCTCCACGTCCTCGCTCTTCAGGCCGAGCTCCCTGTCCTTGGCACGGATCTCATCCCGCTGTTTGTCCACCACCTCCTTCAGCTTCTTCATCACCTGCCGCTCACGCTCCGACATGCCTGCGGTGGGGTAGGTGAGGCTGGCAGCTGAACCCAGCTCCCTGCTCCACTGAAACGCTCCGACAGTGTCCACGTCCCCATGGCCCCTGGGACCTGCCTTCTCCCCAACCTCATCTCCCCTCAGCTCTCCACTCATGCCCTCTGCCCCCTGCCCCAGAAGTCTACCTCCTCCCATGCCCATCCCCCATCTGCCTGGAGAGTCTGCCTTTTGACCTCCCCAGGACTCCCCTCTCATTCTCCAGGCCACAGTTCAAATGTCACCTGCTCATGGCAGCCTGCTCGCCCCCAAGCCCCCAATCCAAGGTGGTATCCACCCCCCACCCACTCAGCCAGTGTTCCTGACCCAACCCCTGGGTTACGGCCTTCCTAGCACGTGAGCATCTTACAAACCCGTCACCATTTACCAGTCACGGTCCCGAGTGCCACAGGGTACAGTGGCTCCCCGGGACTTTCTCTGCTTAATCTTCATGGAAGCAAATTGCCAGAGCTTTGTGCTGCAATGGGTGGGTCTGACCACCAGCCTGAGGTCAGTAGTTGAACACCAACTGCTTGCACCACCCAGAGACCTATAGGAAGTGCCCTAGTCTTTCTTTTTTTCTTCCCATTATTGTGCTAAAATATAAAACGTAACATTTGCATTGTAACCACTTCTAATTGTACAACTCAGTGTTGGGAATTACATTCACTATGTTGTGCAACCTGCCCCATTATCTATGCCCCAAACTTTTCATCCCAACAGAAACTGTGGAGGAAGCAGTAACTCCCACCCCATTGTCCCCTCAGCCCCTGGTGACCGCTCATCTACTCAATTAATGTGCCTAATCTGGAGATTTCAGACCAACGAAATCAGACAACAGGTGACCTTCCGTGTCTGGCTTCCTTCCCTTGGCATGCTGTTTCCCAGGCTCATCCATGTTGTAGCATGTTGGCAGAAGGTCATGCCCTTTCATGGCTGAATAGCACTCCTTGGCATGGCGAGGCCCTATTTTCTTATCCATCATCTGCTGATGAATATTTGGGCTGTTCCCATCTTTCGGCTACTGTGAAGGAGGCCGCTGTGAAAAGGCACATCCATGCTCTTGTTTGTGCACCTGTTTCCAGTTCTCTGGGGCATATGCCCACTAACGCCAGTCCCCACTGAGCCGATGGCCACTCACAGCGACCCCGTGTGGGTCAGAGCACACCTGTGCTCCACAGGGTTTCCCAGCAGTAGGTCTCCATGCCTGTCATCTGAAGCCCCTCCGAGTAGACTTGATCCTGTAGCCTTGTGGTTAGCAGATGAGTGACTTAACCACTGCACCACCCAGGCACTCTCACACCCACTACAAAACCAAAACCAGACCCACTGCCATTGAGTCAAGTCTGACGCACAGTGACCCTATGAGGTTGGATGAGAACTGCCCCGTAGGGTTTTCAAGGTTGTAAATCTTTACAGAAGCAGACTGCCTCGTCTTTCTCCTGCTGAGCAGCTCGTGGGTCTGAACCACCAATCTTTCCATTAGCAGCCGAATGCCTTCACCAACACGCCACCAAAGCGCCCCTCCCACTCACTAGATGGACATAATAAAAAGACAGCAGACGAGAAAGCAAGTGTCGACAGGATGTGGAGAAACTGGAATCCTCACACATTGCTGGTGAGACTGGAAAATAGTCTGGCAGTCCCTCAAAAAATTAAACACAGAATTACCTCATGACCCAGCAATTCCACTCCTAGTTTTATACCCCAAAGAAATGAAAAATATGTCCACCCAAAACCTTGTACATGAGTGTTCACAGCAGCATTATTCTTAATGGCCCAAAAGTGGCACCAACCCAAATGTTCATCACTGGATGGAGGGGCAGACAAAACACGGTCCAGCCACAGAGTGACGTATCACTTAGCAAAAAAAAAGAATGAAGCTCTGGGACACGCTCCAACATGAATGAAACTTGAAAACATCCTACTAAGTGCAAGAAGCCAGTCACTAAAGACCATGGATCGTACAATTCCATTTATATAAAACAGCCAGAATATGCAAATCCAGAGCCAGAAAGATTAGTGGCTGCCGAGGGCTGTGGGGAGGGGTTTCTTTTCAGGGTGATGAAAATATTCTGGAATTCGATCGCGGTTGCAGGTGCACGGCTCTGTGAACATACAGTAAAACCAGCAAAAGCTGGAACCTGTCTAAGGCGGAAACCTGGCAGAGAAGAAAAATGCAAATATTTTTCAGTAACATGAGTGATGGGTAAGGCTGCACCTGTTGAAGGCGGAAAACTTGCGAGAACTGGGAAAACAGTCTGGGGGAGTGCCGGCTCTCACAGCTTTCACGGTACTAAACACCAGTGAACTGTCTTTTAAAAAGGGTGACTTTCATGGTGTGAACATTTCATCTCGATGTTTGACAAGTACACACTGATCGATTCCATTCACAGAAGTTCAAACCAGGCAGATCACCGACGGTGGCAGCACAGAGTTAGGGTTACCTCGCAGGATTATTGAGGAGCTCTGGTGGTGCAGTGGTGAAGTGCTCGGCTACTACCTGAAAGGCCTATGGTTCAATCCCACCAACTGCTTACGGGAGAGGGATGGGGGTGTCTGCTTCCATAAAGATGAAGGCCTTGGAAACCCCACGGGGCAGTTCGACTCCGCCCTAGAGGGCCGCTATGAGTGGAAATCGACTCAATGGCGGTGGGAATTTTGGTTTTTGTGGGGGATTGTTTGGGAAGGGACAGAAAGAGCTCCGGGGTGCTGACAATATTTTATATCCTCAACTGAACCAAAACCAAAAAAAAGAAATGAAACTCACTGCCGAATCTGACTCATAGTGACCCCTTCCTTAGGTTTCCCAGGCAGTATCTACAGAAGTAGATTGCCCAATCTTTCTTCCGAGGAGTGGCTGGTGAGTTTGAACCACCAGCCTTCTGGTTAGCAGTCACATGCTTTAGGCACTACGCCACCAGAGCTCCCATCCTCATCTGAACACAGGCAAGTCACAGCACTGTCCTCTTACAATGTGTTCTTACTCTAAGGAAGTAAACCCTCAATAAAAAAAATAAAGAAAAACCATTAGGGGTGAGGGAGGGGCTCCCTCTGGGCACCAGCACTGTGGTCTCCATCTTCAGATGGGGAAGAAGTGACAGGCCTCCATCACCAAGGGAGCGGGGCTACTGGCTGAGGGGGCCTAAGGCAGTTCCAGGGATCCCCAAGCACCCCAAAGAGCTGGGACCGGAAGTACATGGCAGCCTCCATGGAGAGAACCAGTACTTGTTTGTTTAAGTGCAGAAGCTGACAATGGCCGAGGGCTCCAGCGCAGCTTAGCAAATGGGTGATTTCTCCAGAGCCTGGGCTGCTCCTCCTCCTCCTCCTCTTCCTCCCAGGGCCCCCTCCTCAAAGGATGTCCTCTTGCCGGAGCCTGTGGTGCTCCAGGCCGTGGCGTGCTCCAGCTGGGTGGGAAAGGAACCGAGGACTGGATGGAGGTCACAGGGCCATCTGGGGGCACTGGGCATGGTGCTCCCCTTCTCCCTGCACCCCGCATCTTTGCTACAAGGCACCGTATTGTGGCGTGTTTCCAAAAAATGGTATGTTGAAGTCCTAATTCCCAGGTCACGTTCAGGGAAATACGGTGTTTGCGAGATGGAACGAAGCTAAGAGGAGGACGTTAGGGTAGGCCCTAATGCAGTATGACAGGTGTCCTCATAAGAAAAGGACAGGCCACTGAGACACACAGAGAAAGGCAGCCAGGTGACGAGGGAGATGGAGACGGCGCAATGTGGCTGTAAGCCGAGGAAGGCCACGGATGGCCAGGAGCTGGAAGGGGCAAAGACGCATCCGCCCCCAGAGCCTCCCCAGGGAGCGAGGCCCTGCTGCCACCTCGACCCTGGATGCCCAGGACTCCAGAAAGGGGCCTGCTGGCGTTGGGCTGTCACCCGAAAGGCTGGCGGTTTCCGTCCACCCAGCTTCTCCATGGGAGGAAGACCCAGTGACCGACTTCCATGAAGATTCCAGCCTAGAAACCTAGGGGCAGTTCTACTCTGTCCCTTGGGGTCATCTCAATGGCCCCCAACCACAGAGCTGTGAGAGAAGGAACTTCTGCTGGCTTAAGCCACCCAGTTATGGCGGCCAAAGGGAACTCACACATGGTGCCGGCACCCTGGTGGGACAAGAGGGCCCTGCTGAACCCTTCCAAAAAGGCCCTACCCAGTCTGTGTGTGTGTGTGTGTGTGTGCGCGCGCGGGGCAACGTCAGATGCGTGTGATACAGCAGGAAGCTGTCCCTGTCCCGCACCTGCTCTCTTAATCCTGGTGCAGGGCAGAGTCAGCTCCTGGAGAAGTTGGGGGAGGACAGAACCTGGACGTGACCCCAGGGTGTCCTTCACTTTCCTCTGTTCCGTCTGTCAAACCCTAAGGCACAGAACAGCTGGGGAAGAGCCTGCAATCTGAAGCCACTTCCCGCCTCAGAGCCTGGACTTGCCACTCACCTCTGGCCTCCTTGCTCACTTGCAAGTGGGGCTAACTTGGGTGCACCCACCCGCGTGGCTTGGTGTTGTTAACTTCTGTGGAGTCGGCCCCTGACTCCCGGTGACTCCATGCACAAGGCGGGAAATGACGCCTGGCCCTGCTGCACCCCCAGGATCAGCGTGGCTCAGACCAGTGGGATCTACGGGGTGTTCACTGTGCAGTTTCAGAACACTGCCAGGCCTTTCTTCCTCGTCTTAGTCTGGACGCTCCGCCAACACCTGTCCAGCATGACCGCAGCGTGCGAGCCTCCACTGACCGAGGGGTGGGGGCTGTGCGTGAGGGGCACCAGCTGGAAATCAAACCCGGATCTCCCACACGGAGGGCGAGAATGGCACTACTGAGCACGGCTGCCCTCACCGCCTGCGTCTTACATGAGCTAATCTGTAAAGGGGAGCTCTGGTGGCATAGTGCCTAAGGCATTTGACTGCTAACCAGAAGGCCGGCAGTTCAAACCCATCAGCCACTCCTCGGAAGGAAAACGGGGCAATCTACTTCTGTAGTGATACTGCCCCAGAAGCCCAAGGCGGGGTCGCTATGAGTGGGTCGACTTGACAGCACATAACAACAACAATTTGTGAAGGTGCTTACAACAAGCCCAGCCCAGAGTAAGACTCTGTCCAAGAGCCTCTAAGTGTCAACTGTTATCTGGCCCACAAAATGGAAAGACCAGTCCTCCCTGCTTCTAGGCTGTTCCTGAGATAAAACACAAAAGTGGATATAGGAGTGCTCTGAAAAATGAAAAGAAGGTTGAGTGCTTTTATTAGACTCACAGACACTGTGAAAAGCTGCAAGGGTTCTGAGCAATCGTTTAGTCATCCAGCACCTCAGCATCTGGGATCTCGAATTAAAGAGACGCCCGGGCAAGTGCACACAGTGGGGCGTCCAAGGACAGCCACGGCAGCAGCATGTGTGGGGATGAAAACTGGCAGCGACCTCAATGTCCATCAGCTAGGGAGTGGTTAAACGGGGGAGGAGGGGCACCCTGTGTCGCTGATTAAAAGACAGATACTGCAAAGCAGTCTGGCAGTTTGCTCAAGAAGTGAAACAAAGAACTAAGTAGAACAGTAAAACCTGTGAAAGCTGGAACCTGTGTGAGGCAGAAATTGTCAGAGAAGGAAAACTCAAATGTTTTCCACTAAAACGAGCGATAGAGAAGTGGTAAGACTGCACCCAAAGCCAGAAAACTTGCGAGACCTGGAAAAACACAGCAGTTCTGGTGAGTTCCAGCTCTCACAGGTTTCACTGTATTTCCACTCTGAGGTACAGATCCAAGAGACTCGCACAGACACTTGTGCACCAATGTTCACACAGCATTACTCCCTGAGACCAAAAGGTGGAACAACACAGGTGTCCATCAGCACATGAATGATCAACAAAATGTGGTCTAGCCATGCAATGGAATAGTATGCAGCCACGAAAAGGAATCAAGATGCAAAATGGATTTCAAAGACTTATTAAAAAAAAAGAATGTCACATACTGCATTGATAATTTTTAAAACTGATTATATATTGAAAGGATGCTACCTCAGATCTCTTGGGTTATATCGCTAACATTAATTTTACTCATTTCCTTTTACTTCTCTAAATGTGACTTCCAGAAAATCCATATTTACACATGTAGCTTGCATTACCTTTCTACTGGCAAGTGCTGTGGTAAGCTCTGTGTTGTTAAATGTCATCAAGTCAGCCTCCGACATACGGCACACCATGCACAAGGAGGCGAAACACTGCCTGGCCCTGCAACAGCCCCATGATCAGCTGGGAGCCAACCGTCGTCATCCACAGGGTGCTCGCTGGCCAATTTTACAAAGTAGATTGCCAGGCCTCTCTTCCCAGTCCTTCTTAATCTGGACGCTCTCCTGAAACCTATTCCTTATCAGAGCAACACCCAGGCCTCCCCTGACAGGTGGTGGCTGCTACGCGTGGGTGCACTGGCCAGGAACGGAAGCCAGTCTGCTCCATGGCGGGTGAGACTTCTCCCCGCAAAGCAACAACATCCCTGATCCCAAGCTTAACTCTTCAGAAAATGACTATGTGGTCATTTGTCCTTCTCTCTGAGACTGACTTGTTCCCCTAAAGCCCAGAACTTCCTTCACAGGCTCTTGAGCACACTTGGAGGGGATGTGCCCCCTTCTCCATCCCAGTGGTGGGGCCTCTGAACACAGTGCCGAGTGTCAACTGCTGAGGAAGCAATACAGGCTGCCTGCCCCCATCCCCCACCATCACCACGGGCACCAGACGCAGGTGACTGCACTCCCAACCCTCACTCTACTGCAGGCCTCCGCCTAGCACCTATCAAAGTGGTGCCTGACCCTCGGTCTCCATCACTGGGCTCCTCCTCCTCCCAGGGACCCGTCTGCCCAATCGCTGATCCTGTAACAGTTGGGGGAGATGTTTTTGTCCTTGTTGTATTCCCATAGTTTCCGGTCCACAATAAAAATAACCATGAAAGGCACGCCTGGCATCTGCGTGGTGTCTGCACTGGGGGTGGAGGGAGGCTGCTTTCTGAGTGAAGCCTCCGGGAGCCTGACGACCTGAGATGCCAATTAGATGCCAGTTAGCGAGGGCTCAACTGCACACCCCAGACTGTTTCATGACAAGGCCAGCAGGGGATGGAGAGTGGAGACACAGCAAAGCTCTCCTTTTGGACAGCGATGTGATCAAATGTGTGAGAATGGTTCCTATCGCATCTCCATATGTGATTTAAAAACACATCACCCGCGTGTATTTATATTTTCAAGAAAGTAAAACATTAAAGAATAACAATAACATCAGCGCCCCAAAGGCTGAAGGACACTGGGCGGTGGTTCTGGAACTCCTCAGGCGCAGGCCCACTTGGATGACAGGATTTTTAATTAACTTTCTGTTGTTATTCAGCTCTGACTTCCAGTGTCAGGTGGGTGCTTTCTTAAACATTTGATGGAAGAATTCTAATTCTGCCCCTACCTGCGTTCAGTTCTGAGAGGGCCCACGGGCAGGGTGGGGGCTGTGTGTGTCCACGTGTGTGGTGTCCATGTCTGTCTGCCGGGACAGGTTCATCTCTCTGGCTGCTCGGCCTGCCAGGGTAGGCCCGTCTCTCCGGCTCCTCTGCCTTCCTCTGTCCATGTCTGCCTGATGGGACAGGCCCATCTCTCTGTACTCTGCCTGCCTCTGTCCACGTCTGCCTGCCGGGGCAGGCCCGTCTCTCTGTACCCTGCCTGCCTCTGTCCACGTCTGCCTGCCAGGGCAGGCCCGTCTCTCTGTACTCTGCCTGCCTCTGTCTATGTCTGCCTGCCGGGGCAGGCCTGTCTCTCCAGCTGCTCTGCCTGCTTGTGTCTCTGAGGCTCACTGAGGCTGGGTCCTCTGCCCCCATGTGGGTGTGGGGAGAGGCAGGCAGAGGCAGTAGCGGTGCGTCCTGGCTTCACGAAGCCACCACATTCCAGGTCTGCACTCCTGTTTTTCCAGTGCAGTCTGTCAGTTACCAAGACAGGCATGCGAAACATTCTCACTATGACTGTCGATCCATTTCTCTTTGTTTTTGTTTACTTTTTCAAATATGATTTATTACCATTTTTAAAGTGTATAATTCAGTGGTTTTTAGTATATTGCAAAGCTGTGCAATGATCTGAAAAAACAAAAACAGCAGACGACTTGCCTTCCAGCTGACTCTGCCTGGTGGGGATCCCACGGGTATCAGAGCTGGACTGGGCCACGGACGGTTCTCAACGCCTGGTCGTTCTGGAAGTCTACTGCCAGGCCTTTCTACCAAGGTGCCTCTGGGTGGACGTGAGCTGACACGCTTCCAGTTAGCAGCCAAGCACCTCAACTGTTGACACCCCCCGGGGACTCTAGACAACAGTATCTCCTAACAGTAACAATAATCAGCAACATACACTAATGTAACTAATATAAAACAATGGTACAACATTTGCGGAAGTGTTGCCTATGTACCAGGTGTCATTCCAAACAACCTAACATGTATTATGTCCTTTAATTCTCAGACAACCTTATGACATAGGAGCAGAGGTCAAGTGACTTAATCAAGGTGACAAAGCAGCTGGAGTCCGATTCCAACGTCAGCTGTCTGGTTCTAGAGCCAACATTCATAATCACCAAAACTTTTTTCCAATTGCACTAGTCCCATTTCACCAAAGAAAACACAAGGAATAGGTAATCCTGGGAGCCGATCAAACTCTTCCTTTTCTCTTGGTCCCTGCAGTCCTTTATCCCTAAAAAGTCCTTATACTTTCTTCTCAGGGTCATAAACACAAGGTCTGAACTCCATGAGCGTCAAACAAGGCCATCCCTCACCGCACCAGCCCACATGCAAACGTTAGGGCAGGGGCTTGTGTGGGGACCCAAGGAGTCTTCCTGGAGTAAAGAGATGGGTTTGAAAGTTCTCGGGGAAAGCTGCCAGAGGCAGCCTCCCATCAGGAGCAAGGCTGTTACAGATCTGACATAGCCCCACAGTCAAGAGGACTTGATGTGTAGAAAGTTCTGGATCACCATTAGTAGGATGAAGGATAGCTGTGGGGCTCCAGTGCCATTCAGTTATGGGCTGCCATTCTGGGTTGGTCACTTTGACATGTGTGCCTGTGACAAGGGCCTCAGGTCTCTTCCCATCACACTTTGAATGAAACCCAAACTTGCCCTCTAAGGGGCTCCTTGATCTGAGCGCTGTGACCCCTCTGAGCTCATTTCCAACCTGGCTCAGCTCCACTCACACAAACACGCCCAGTTCAGTTGTGCCTCAGGGCCTTTGCACCTGCCGGCCTCCTGAGACACTGCACGCCCGGCTCCCTCCGGTCAGCAGACGGCAGGGCTCAAATCAAGGCTGAGGCCTTCCCAGACCACTGTCTCTAAAGAAGAGCCCCACCAAGTCACCGTCATCCCTCTGTTTTATTTCTCCACAGCACTGGTCGCCGTCTGAACTATCAATTTTTATCACCTCTCTCCACTCACTAGAGCATAAGCTTCATGAGGCAGGCTCTTCGTCTTTGTCCTAGGGCCAAAAAGTGCCTGACATACGGTGGGGAATCTACCTCAATCTGTTACACGAACTCTGTTTCCTCATCTGTAAATGGGGGCTAAAAAATTCCTCCTCTCTGGCAGAGTTACGGCTCATACCCACATGACAATATGAGACGAAGGGCTGTGGAGGGCAAAGCCTCGGGATGCTCTTATCCGTATTACTATCACTGATGATGGGGCTGATGCTGTTGGTGCCGGTATCAGTTGCCATGACACCGATTCCTGCTTCTGGTGACCCCATGGGTGTCAGACTGGAACTGGGCCCGTAGGGTTTTCAAGCCAGGTCTCTCTTGCAAGGTGCCTCTAGGTGGGCTCAAACCACCCTTCGGCCCGTAGTTGAGCGCTTCCCCATGTGCGCCCCCGGCCTTCTCGGACGAGGCCAGCAACAGCAGCCTCCCCCTTCCATACCTTCCTGTTTCTGGAACTCCTCCTCGGAGAAGCCGGCGTCCTTGTGGGAGAGGTTGGTCAGCAGCTGTTTGTTCTCCTCCTGCAGCTGGGCTATCTGGGAGAGGAGGTCCTGTGCCTCCCCTCGCCACACGTCCTCCACAAGCTCCAGCTCCTGCAAAGGTGAGCACACAGTGTGCTGACAGCCGGCCCAGGGCGGCAGCCTCACCCCCGCGCCGCGGACCACGGTCCGTGCCTTACCCACCCCTGTGGGAACCAAGCCTCAGGCAGGTGGGCAGGCGAGGCCACCAGCAGCCCACACGGCACCGTTGTAAGAAACACATGGCCTCCCTCCTCTGGGCAGATACCTGCACTGATGCTGTGAGCACCTGGCCAGGTAACAACTGCCCCACAGTAACCAGAGCTGGCATCACACCTTTTAACCAGCCAAAGAGGGGGAAGAGTGGGGGGGTGGCCCCAGGTAAGGTCACCTTCCCTGATCTTTGGACATACACCCCAAAAAAGAAAGACAAACCCAAACCCACTGCCGTCCAGTTGGTTCTGACTCATAGTAACCCCACCCTATAGGACAGAGTAGAACCGCGTGAATGAGTTTCTAAGGCTGTCATCTTTATGGAAGCAGACTATCACATCTTTCTCCCGTGGAGCGCAGCTGGGGAGTTTGAATCAACAACCTTCGGTTGGCAGCTGAGCACTTTAACCACGGCACCACCAGGGCTCCTGATATTTGGGCAGATACAGTGAATGAACGTAGTAGACCTTTTTCCAGGGGAGAAGCAGGCTGCAAAGACCTAGGGAAAGTTCTATGCTTGAAGAACAGGTTGTCCAAGAAGTTATGAGTAACTCACTTAACCGCTATGAGCCTCAGTTTCCCTCCTTGAGGTACCATGCTAGAAAGGCTCACAGGGTTGATGTAAGGATAAACAAGAGGAGTCCGGTGAAAGCATGTCTGTGGACGGCTGTAATAAAACAGACGATGACAAGTGTTGGTGAGGAAATGGAGAAACTGGAACCCTCGAACGCCACTGGTGGGGGTGGAAAATGGTGCAGCGCTTTTGGAAAACAGCCAGGTGGCTCCTTAGAAAGTGGAATGTGGAATTCACCACGTGACCCAGCCATTGTACTCCTAGGTGCATACCCAAGAAAAATGAAAACAAAAACTCGTACACAGATATTCACGGCACCATCCTTCCTAACCTCCCCAAGCGGAAAAACCCCAAAGCCTCTCAACTGATGAACCAGTTCAATAAAATGTGGTACATCCATATGATGGAGTATTATGCAGCCATAAAAAGGAGCCAAGTACTGATACCCGCTATGACGTGGAAGAACTCTGAACACATGATGTCCAGTGACACAAAGCCAGACACAAAAGGCCACATTGCATATTAGTGGTTGCCAGGGGCTGCAGGGTCATGGGAGGGGTGTGACTGCTAGGGGGCGAGAGTTCCTCTTCCCACAGTGCTGAAAATGCCCCAGAACTGACTGTGTGACAGCTGCTTGACTCTGTGAAGAGACTCAAAACCACTGGATTATGTAGTTTAAGTGGACGAACTTTATGTGCGTGTGAATGACACTCACTGCATACAAACTCAACATCCAAGTATTATAATCGTTGCAATGATTCTGGTACAAAAACAAAAAATCATTTTTTAAAAAAACCATAAACCCTTTCAGCAAACATTCTCACTGTTGCCTGGTCAGCAGTTTAAAGCAGGGGCACTGGCGCCTGCTGACTTGAGTTTGAATCCTGTTTATTCCATTTACCAGCTGATGCCTGATCTTGGGCAAGTTCTTTAACATCAGTGTGCCTTAGACATGAAGCAAACAGTACGGTAGCTGCCTCCATGGGTTGCTGTGAGGATTCAATGGTGAACATATGTAAAGCGCTTGGAACGGTGCTTGGCACCCAGGAAGTGCTATGGACGCACTGGCCGATCTCTGCTCTTTCTGTGCACCTGGCCGGGTGCTCAGCCTCACCTCCCATCATCTTTTAACTAAGTTCCTAAGTCCTCCCTCCTTTGTAGGAAGCTGGCTGCACTGAGGAAATGGTAAATAATAACTAAGTATCCACACAGATGGTTCAAGGTCGTGGGAGAGGTGAAGGGCAGGATCTGTGTGGGACTGTGGCTGGCCACGCAGCCCTCCGGCACAGGTGTGGGCTGGAAGCAGGCAGGTTCTTCCTGCCCTGTTCCTTCCTGCTGCCTTCTGGCAGGTCTCTGTGGATAGCGGTCAGATGTAACTGGCTGTGGTTGGCAGCACAGCGGCCCCCACAGACGTCCACAGCCCCAGAATCTGCACATATGTTACCTCACGTGGCAGAAGGGACTTTGCAGATATGATTCAGGTTAAGATTCAGAGGTGGGACCTTATCCTGGATTGTCCGGGTGGGCCCAACGGGATCACAGCACCTTTGTAAGGGAAAAGGGAGGCAGGAGGGGCAGAGGAGATGTGAGCAGGGAAGAAGTGGATCTGAGTGGTCACCAAGGAGGTCCCGGATCCAGAGGGAGAAAAATGTGGAATGAAACTTAAAATCTTTTTTTTTTTATGTTGTGCCACCATTACTGCTATCCTTTTCCAAAATATTCTACCACCATTAGCATAAACTCAGTGCCCCACAAACAAAAGTTTCCCCTTTCCCCCTCCCTCCTACTCCTGGTAACCACTAAAAATCTTTGGTTCATGTGTGTGTGTGTGTGTGTGTGTGTGTGTCCCAACCTATCTAGGAATTCTCCTCCTCCCCTCCCATCCCAGGTAACCAACAAAGTCTCCTTCCCTGTATAAGCCTTTCCTTGACTTTTCACAATAGCAGACTAACACAATATTTGTCCTTCTGTGATTGACTTACTTCACTCAACATAATGTCCTCCAAGTTCACCCACATTATGCGATATATTGCAGATTCTACATTATTCTTTAGGGTTGCATACTATTCCATTGTGTGTATGGACCACAAGTTTGTTTATCCATTCCTAGGCTGACAGACACGTAGGTTGTTTCCATGTCTTTGCTACTGTGAATAGTGCTGTGATGAACATGGGTGTGCACATATCTATTCGTGTCCTGTCTCTCACTTCTTTAGGATAAATACCTAGTAATGCGATTGCTGCATCAAATGGTATTTCTATTTCCAACTTTTTAAAGACTCGCTATACCGACTTCCGGGAGCTCTGGTAGCATAGTGCCTAAGGCACTTGACTGCTAACCAGAAGGCTGGCAGTTCAAACCCACCAGCCACTCCTCAGAAGGAAGATAAGGCAATCTACTTCTGTAGTGATACTGCCTCGGAAACCCAAGGAGGGGTCGCTACGAGTCGGGTCCGACTCAACAGCATATAACAACAACAACATACCGACTTCCACAGTGTTGTATCATTTTACAGTCCCATCAGCAGTGTATGAGAGTCCCAATCTCTCCACATTGTCACCGGCACTTGTTATTTTCTGTCCTGTTGAACTTTGCTATTAGTGCTGGGGTGAGATGGTACCTCATTGTTGTTTTGATTTGCATCTCTCTAATGGCTAATGAATCGTAAACATCTCTTCATGTGTTTGTTGGCTGCCAGAATATGTCCTTTGGTGAAGTGTCTGTTCATGTCTCTGCTCATTTTTTAATTGCACTGTCTTTTTCATGATGAAGTCAAGCTCTTTGTATGACCAGACTTACTGGTCTGATAGAGACTGGTAGAACCCCTAAGACTATGGCCTCTAGATGCCCTTCAAGCCAGAAACTGAACTCATCCGTGTGGCTCAATTTCAGCCAAACAAGAGACAGGCCTAGAAGGTGGACAGTACCAACAGGGAGGTACACACCCATTAGAGCTACCAACCGTAGGATATCAATAGGGCAGCATTTGCCCAGGGATGAAGCTCAGAAGGTAGGAAGGGACAGAAAAGGAGGAGGAAGGGAAAATAGTAACCACAGGGAGGAAGTGGGAAGAGAGCTGTTACATTGTGCGAATTGCAATGAATGTCACAAAACAAAATGTGCATGAGTTGCTGAATGGAAAACCAATTTGCTCCGTAAACTTTCACTCAAATCACAATTGAAAAAGAGAGAGAAAAAAGGGGTGGTGATTGGATTTTTATTTCTTTAAAGGTCAGTGTTGGACAGATTTGACGATGCTATGATGCTGGTTTGAAGATGGAGGAAGGGGCCACTAGGTAGCCGTTAGGAGTTAGAAAAACAGACTCTCCCCTGTAGTCCTCAGAAGGACGCAGCCCTGCCAGTACCTTGACTGGAGATGCATTTCAGACTTCTGACCTCCAGAACCATAAGAGCAGGCATCCAGGTGGTTTTGAGCCACTAAGTTTGTGGTCACTTGTTACCGCACCCGGAGGACACTCATACACTGGCTGTCATTCTTGGTTCTTTTCCGCCTACTCCCTGTGAACGGACGGCGAAATTGCTGGTTCTTGCCTCTAAGCTGATGGCAGAGAATTTAATCCAGTCTCCATCTCAGCGACAAAAGCTCTCCCAGAAAGCTGGCCCTCACTCAACATCTCCTTTGCCTTCTCCCAGCACCAGCACTCCTCAAATCCCTCACCTTGGCCAACAAGGCCCCCAGCAGGATCACAGCCCTGGTCTTTCCCACACCCCTTCCTCACTTGCTCTGCTCCAGCCACAATGGCCACCTCTGTGTTCATGAACATACCAAGCACATCTCTACCCCAGGGCCTTTGCACCTGCCGTGCTTCCTGCCTCCAGTGCTCCTCCCCTAGAGCTCTCCATGGCTTCATTCAGAGCACAACTCAGCATCACCTCCTCAGGGAAGCCTTCCTGATTACCTCATCTATCAGGCCCACCCTGGTCAACCTCTTTCACATCTCCCTGTTTTATTTCTTTAAGCTGAAATTTTTAAAACTTAAAAAGATTTCTCTCCTTATACAAGACTTGCACTGTCCCACACAGAAGCCATGACCCTGAGGAGCCATGAGCACTGAAATGTGGCTGATCTTAACTGAGACTTGTGGTAAGGGTTAGACACATACCAGATTTCAAAGACTTAGAAGGGAGAAAAGAATATAAAATATGTTATTAGTATGAGATCAGAACTGGATGGTGCCTGGATACCACTACTGGACACTTCAATCAAAGACTCTATAAAAAAAATCTTGTTCAAAAGGGGGGATATACAGAAGAGACTTTCATATTTTCATGGAATCCAGACTTTCTGGAGCCATGGAAGCTGGATGAAGCCTTAAAACCATTGCCCTGAGATAATCTTTAAATCTTAAACTAAAAACATCCCCTGAAGTCTTCTTAAAATCAAACAACCATTTAGCTTAACTAGTAAACAACGTCTGCCTTGAGCATTGTACGTTTTTAAGATCCATCTCTATGGGATCAAGCTGACAACAACAACTAGAAACTGGAGATACGAACCTAAGGGACAGTGAGTTTATGTTAATGCGGGAGGGAACAACTCAGCAAAGAAGGGTGAGAATGACCGCACAACTCGAAGAATATAATCCATGTCACTGTCTGTCCGTGGAGAAACTGCTGAATTGGTGTTTGCTGTATGTACTTTCAACAATAGAAAATACATATATATACACACATCATTAGTCATCTTTTACATTGATTACGTGTTGAAATGATAATATTTTGGATATGGTGGGATCAATATTAAAACTAATCTCACCTGTTTCTTTTTATTAATGAAGCAAGCCACTTTATATTTCTATTGGATGCATTGCATTCGAAGGTCAGGTCCATGAGAGCAAAGACCTCGTCTGTCTTGGACCCTGCTTCTCCCCAGAGCACAGGACAGTGCCTGGCACGTAGAAGATGGTCAATAAATACAATTGTTGAATGAATGCATGAACAACATGCTGTTTACATCTTAGTCCATGCCCCTGCACAGCCTCTGTTCTCTGATGTCTGTGTGCCTCTCCGGTCTTCCTGTCACCTGCCTACTGCCTACAGGCAGGACCCGACTCTTCCAAACAGAGCACCGTGGCAGAGCGTGCCACTGCAGGGGTCTGCGTCAGAGCAGGACAGAGTCTGGGGCTTGGTTGGGGAGGAGCTGGTGAAAGGCAGGGTGTGTGCTTTGCTGGAGCCATACTGGTTCTCTACCAAACAAGGCCCTCAGTGAGACGGACTGACAGACACAGCGGCTGCAACGATGGGCTCAGGTACAACAAGGGTCGTGAGGCTGGAGCAGGACCAGGCAGTGTTTCGTTCTGCTGCACACGGGGTTGCTATGAATCGAGCCGACTCGACAGTACCTAACAGCAACCACAAAGGAGGCCAAGGGCATGCTAAGACAATTCTTACGGAAATATCGGCGTGAAGGGCCTCGGAGGGTACAGAATAAAACACAGGGCAGCCTGTTTCTCCCCTCCCTTGGCCCCAAGAATACTGAACTAAGGAGGACTGGGGCTGGGGGGGAGTCCCTGGGGGGTGGAAATGGTTCCATGCTCAGCCAGTAGGCACCTTGGAAGAAAGACCTGGTCACCCAATTGCAAAAAGCAGCCACGCAAACCCTACAGAGCAAAGCAACGCCCGGGAGGGATGTGCTCCTCAGAACAGTCAACCACGAGCCTAAACGGGTAGGAGGGCCCGAAAACACGCTCAGAAGGCAGGAAGGGGCAGCAGAGGAGGACAATGGAAACGGGGAGCCCAGGGAGGAGGGGGAGGGAGCAGCTACACTTAGGGGCTCCCACCTAATGTCACGAAACAAAACGTGTATAGTTGTTGAACAGAAAATGAACTTAAGCTATACACTTCTAAACAAATCACAATAACAAGTAAAGAAAAAAAATTTAATTATGATTTGGGTGAACGTTTACAGAGCAAATTCATTTTCCATACAGCAGCTCATAGATGTTGTTTCATGACATTGACTGCAATCCCCACAACGTAACAGCTCTCCTCCCGCTTCCTCCCTGTGGTTACCCCTTCCTGTGTCCTTCGTTCCTATATATTCCTGTCCACTGACTATCTCTCTGTGCAAATACTGCCCTCCTGTTCGCCCATGATCGACTGTTCCACAGAGTTTATCTACCTGACGTAAATGTTCACCCCATATGCCTTCCTGTTGTTTGGCTGGAAGCCCCGGGAGTGAGTTCAGTTCTGGAAAAACGAACCAATCTGATGTAGTGCCGTTCTACTCTGACATGGCGTCACCAGGAGTCAGGGCTGACTCGATGGCCACTGGTCTGGTGCTTGGTTTGGGGCAGGGGTGGGAAAGGAAGGATACTGTCCTCCAACTTAGGAGGCTGCCCGCAGTGTTTACAAGCAAGTGCCTGGCTCTGCCCGCAGGGTGTCTGCTTCCCAGCTGACCGTGTTCCAGAAGCAACAAGTGCAGCTGGCCAGAGAGCGCCATCCAAGGCCAGGCCCAGGGTCATCGATGTCCCCAAGAGCCGCCTCCCAGCCTGGCACAGCAGAACAAGCAAAGCCGGGGGACACACAGGTGCTACCTACGACTGCCGTGTGACCTGGGCTCAGGCCCTTGGACCCTGTTTCCCCAGCTGTCCAAAGAGGCAGCTGTATAAAAGGATTGCAGAGGTCCCTCCCTTCCCTGACCCTCGTGGAGAGATGGTGAGAGGAGTTGTCAAGATAAGCTGGGGTAGCCGTCGAGGTGCATGGGGTAGGCATTGGAGGAGGGTCTCCAATACCAGCCTATGAGCACCTCAGTGACATCTACTCCGGGCCTCAAAATGATACAATAAAACCTGTGAAAGCTGGAACCTGTATTAGGCGGAAACCGATCAGAGAAGGAAAACACAAATGTTTCCACTGAGACAAGTGATAGGAAAGTGGTAAGAATACCACTTGTCAAAGGCGGAAAACTTGCGAGACCCAGACAAACAAGGCAGTCCTAGGCATTCCGGCAGGAGCTCTGGTGGTGTAGTGCCCAAGCCATCTGACTGCTAACCAGAAGGCTGGCGGTTCAAACCCATCATCCTCTCCTCTGAAGGAAGGTTGGGCCATCTACTTCTATACTGACACCGCCTTGGAAACCTAAGGAGGGGTCGCTATGAGTCGGATCCGACTGGATGGCAGTGAGTTCAGGCATTGCGTCTCTCTCAAGTTTCCCCAAGTTCACTCTTGTCAAACTCTTGCTATGGGACAATGTTTGGACCATCTGGTATCTCTTAACTCCTTTAATCCTCACCACAACCCTACAAGGTATTATTTTATTATTATCTTCACTTGACAGCCGAGGGAACTGAGGCACCAAAAGTCTAAGTGACTTGCCCAAGATCACACAGACTAAGAGTGGTGGGGTCTGGGTTTGAAATCAAGCTGTTTATGTCCAAAGTCCCTGTTCCTACGACTCCTCACATTAATTACATAGCTGGAGCATTTTCAAGCTCCCAGGATGTCCTTGGAAATATTGTCTAACTCTTGGGAGCTTCAGGGTCCTTCCTGACTCCAAGAGATAAGATCCCAGGAGGACCATGGAATCACCCTCAGTTAAAGTTGCAGACACAGCCTTGGCAATTTTCCTTGAAATATTGCTGATCCATCACAGTGCACAATAGGTGACGGCCTGCCAAGGAGGTTCAGAGAGGCCAACTCCACTTCCTGACACCACACAGCAACCCATAGCTAGCTCAGGCACCTAGATCTTTGCAAGGAAAGGCGTTTACCTCCTATTCTCAGTCTGAAGGATCTACCAGGAGCTTCCTGGGGCTGAGGCTGGGCCGGAAACCACATGTCCCCTGCTTCCTTTTATCCCCGACACCTCGTCTGGAATCCCAGCCCAGTGGGCATGCCACACTTCATGAGGCCAGCAGCACCAGTCTCCCAGGGCAGAGACAGGCTTAAAGCTGCTTCAACATCGGCCCCTTCCCCCAATTCACACGGGCTGGGGCAAACACTACAGTCACGTCCACTACAGCTGGGGCTCCCTTGCCATCAAAGTAGGACAGATCCCTCCCCCACTCTGACCCTCATTTCCTCATCCGTAAAATGATGATAACAGAGTGTTGTGAAGATTAAAGATAACCTCCAGGAGGGAAAAGCCACAGGGCACAGACAATAAACTAGAGCAAAGGGAGAAAAAAGATGCAAATCAGAACTCAGAGCCTGGGGGTCAGTAAGCTCAGTGGAGGAAGGTCACGCCTGTGTGGTCTGGGGGACTCTAGGGTGGAATGAAGAAAGGGACCTGGACGGTGTCAGATCACCCATAAGCAAGCTAAGCACAGGTTTGCTTGTGCTTACTAACTAATCTGTAGTGAGCACTTCCACATTTTTCACAACATGCAAGATTCAGCTTCTCCGGTGGCTCGCATCTCTCTCCCAGCCCCACAGCCCCTTCCTACAGAATGAGAGTCTCTTCAAATTTACAATCCCTAACGGGCAGGGAGTACCCAGTACGCAAGGTAAGCACGGGCTTATTTGTACTTACTAATCTGTAGGGAAGCTTCATATGTTCGCTAGACGTGGCGAGAAACATGTGAAACTGTTCACTACAGATTGGGAAGCAAGCACAGGTCAGGCCGTGCTTACCTTGCTCATGGGGCCATCCGCACCTGGACCTGGAGTCACCTCTTTCTGGGCTTATTTCATTTCTGGAAAAGAAGAACAACCACTAAACACTATGCATATCATCCCAATTCATTTTTAAACCCTGAGGTGGGTCCCATCTCTATCACCCTTTGACAAGTGAATAAAGAATGCACAGAGAGGTTAAGTAACTTGCCCAAGGTCACACTGAACCAAAGCCAAACCCACTGTCATCGTTGATTCCAACTTATAGTGACCCTATGGGACAGAGTAGAATTGCCCCATAGAGTTTCCATGGCTGACTTGCCTTATTTTTCTCGGCAGCATGGCCGGTAGATGAAAGCTGCCAATCTTTTGGTTAGCCGATGAAAGCTTTACCCAGTGCACTACCAGAGCTCGTGCAGT